TGGTACAGATTACTAGGTCATGTTAAAAGCATGTCTTGCTTCTTAATCTTTTATCCTCTTAACTATTTGACATGAGGGAAACACTCCTGGAAGTTTCATCTAAAAAGCACAGGCCAACAGGGTATTATAAGTCACAGAATCACAATCTCATTACTAAAGTTATCATTGGTTGGGGAGAAAAACCTACATTAAAACCAGTATGTAACCAAAGGAAAACCAGGCATAATACAAAATATGAATCAGAAGCTAAGAAAGGCAAAATACTCAGAAGACAAGCAAAAAGTTTTATTTAGAATGGTTATTTACTCATGTGAATAGCATGAAGGAGCACATATTTCAGAGCAAACAGGAAGTTCAGAAAAATTTCTGTTCTACATTTGTGGAGAAAAACAACATATATCAGAAAAGTCTAACAATAGCCATGGAAAGCCTTAAACATAGGAATAGAAGTAAGGCGGTTTTTAAATCAGCAGTTCCATATAGCCTGTATTCAAGAATTTTAGGAGCTGGCAGAGGAGACTTGTGTGCTGTTAATGTGGATTTTCCATAAGCTCTGAGAAATCTGGGGAAGCTCAGGAAAAAAGAAAAATCTCAAAGAAAGCTGAGGTTGTGCCAATACCAGAAAAATAAGTAAGAAAGGAACAAATTCAGGAACTTACGGTCAACCTTGCCTTAATTCCAGAAAAAAAACCCCAAAACAATAAACCAACTTCTTGATCCAGGAAAAAGAAATGAATGAGCAAATTTTACTTAAATTACACAGCTTAAATGCATGGAAAATGTATCTTTTTGGAATGACTTTTTTTTCCTCATGCAATTACAGCGTGCATTTGGTAAATAACAGGAAAGTGTTGATGTAACATATTTGCACTTTGACTTGTTCAGTAGAACACAGGGAAACTGGCACAGCTGTGGACATATAGCTTATAGTAAGCAACTTAAAACTAAAGTTACAGGTCTGTGTCACCAATGAGGACTCAGTCAGACATATTTCTAATTGAATCCCACAGGAATTAGTTCTTGGCAGCAATCTACTCAGTATTTTATCTGGAAATAAAGTTTACTAAGAACATTCATAAAAGCTCTAAGTAAATAGTGTAGCAGGACTGCTGGTTGGGAACCATCCGGATTACTGGAAAATTTAATGTTTCAGCATGATCAGTGTGAGGTCATGTATTTAAGAGTGATGGATATAAAACACTTATAGATGGAAAACTTCCTCAGGAAGTAGATGGAATAGCTGGTAACAGAGTAAACGTGGGTTCCTTATGCATGAGTTCAAAAACAGTATATACATAATTGTTAAATGGCTCAGAAAACAAACCACCAGAACCAAATGCTGTTTTCATTGCAGGGAGGAAGAGACCAGAGAAACGTGACTATCATCAAAACACTTTTCAAGTACTGATCTTCATTGGCAAAAGCTGTCGCTGCATTCCAGAAAGCAGCAACAGGATGACAACTTCTCTATCCATGTTTATTGGAACTGCTTTATCAGAATATAGCCTCAAGTCCTTTCAGAGAAGATATTAGCAAACTAGAGATTTCAAAGAGCAAGTACAAACAATCCAAGTGCAAATAAGCCTAAAAATTGAGCATCACAACAGAGTAGTTGGCATATAAAAGTTACCTCCATCACCTGAGGTTTAAGGACAATACTAAGACCTATAACTCATTTGGTAGGGGAAAAATATATATTAAGAGCAGTGTGATCACTGAAAGTAAGTTCATATTAAAACACCAAGCAAGCTTTTTTCAATAACTGTAGTAATCACTAAGCTTCCAGAGGTGGCAGTAGTTTTGCTAACATTATTCATGTCTGTGATTCCTGGACTAAATCCCAAACTAGAATTAAAGTATTAAAATTAAAAGATAATCACAGTGGCCAGCGACCTTACTGTAGGCCATAATTTCGTAATAACTGTTTCTCCGGTTCACCAGTGATGTAACTAGAAACAGACATGTTTTCAGCAAAACACTTGGTTTGGGACTGACAGTTACCACTGTCCAGGCCAACTCAGTGACCCTTCTCAATAAAAAACATCCCTTTCAACACCCAATCTCAATAAATAATGGAACTTTCACAAATAAAATTCATTTAAGTCTTTAAATGTAAGCACGAATGAAACAAGCACTTTTACTTAAAGCTTCTGCTCTCGCACCTCCACTTTACCGACTCACTGAATCACAGAATCAACTGGGCTGGAAAAGCCCTCCAAGATCACCGACTCCAGCCTATGACCGAACACCATCATGTCAACTAGACCATGGCACTGAGTGCCACGTTCAGTCTCTTCTTAAATACCTCCAGGGACAGTGATGCCGCCACCACCTCCCCGGGCAGTCCATTCCAATGTCTAATCATCCTTTCTATGAAGAAATTCCTGATGTCCGACCTAAACCTCCCCTGGCGCTGCTTAAGATTGTGTCCTCTCGTCCTGTCGCTTTCAGAAATGAACGAAAATAACAAGACCCAAGGGCTCAGCCGGGAGCGGGCTCGCTATCCCCGGAAGCGATAAAGCCTCGCTCATGCGTCAACTCCCGGTGCTCCCCCCAGGAGAACGCCGAGATCCGCTGGAAAAGGCAGGAGAGCAAGATGCTCACGGGGCCCGAGCGGGGAGGGCGCTGTGCCCCGCTGGGGGCGGCCGAGCCCGGTCTTTGGGGCTCGGCAGCCGCCAGGACCCTCTCCCTCTCGACTCGCCATCAGCCGAGACCACGGGGCGACCATTGGCACAGGAAGCCGAGCCGCCCCAGCCTCCCCGCCCCGGCGCTTCCGTGCCCGGCGGGCGGGTGAAAGGTCCTGTGGCGCCCGGATGGAGGCGGTGCCGCTCCCCTATATAAGCGCCCGCCGCCACCGCGCCCGCCTCTCGCCGCGCCGCCGCCTCCTGGCTCACCGCTGTTCGCTGGGCCCCGCGCCGCCCCGAGCCCGGGAATAAGTCGGCCAGGAAGGCTCCGCTGCCGCCATGGTGAGGCGGGGGAGCGCCGGGAACAGGGGGAGCGGGAAGGAGAAGGAGAGGAAGCGGGGCCGCCACGCCGGCAGCGCCGCGGGGCCGCCGCGCCTGTCCAGGCCGAGCCGGCCCTCGGCCCGGGGAAAGGGCGGCCTCGGCACTGCGCGGAGGGGCCCTGGCTGCTGAGGCGGCTCCCAGAGCCCACCCCAGGCCGGCGTGCAGGGAGGGCGGCTTGTGAGCCCGGGAGTGCCTTTCGCGTCGGGAGCGGCACCCTGGGACGCGTCGGGAGCGGGGCTGACACGGCCCCGCGTGTGTGTGTCCTCAGAATCGGCTCATGTTGAGGGGCTGCGCGTCAGTTCATGCAGCAGGTCGTGCCTCTTCGTCAGTGTGTGACAGCCCGTATTTCGGAGTCTGTCAGGTTGGGAAGGGACCACAGTGGGACATCAAGCCCACCCTTCCTGCTTAAGCAGGGTCGTCCTAGAGCACATTGCACAGGTTTGCATCCGACCGGTTGTTGGGTATCTCCAGCGAGGGAGTCTCCACAACCTCTCGGGACAGCCTGTTCCAGTGCACGGTCACCCGCACAGTAAAGAAGTTTCTTCCTCATATTCAGATGGAACTTCCTGTGCATCAGTTTCTGCCCGTTGTCTCTCGTCTTACTGGTTGGCACCACCAAGAAGAGCCTGAGTCCATCCTCTGTGCACCCCCCCTTTAGCCATTCATATCTATAGTTTTATATATATATATTTATATATCATCCATGTTTTTTGAAGACCTTTCTTTCTCCATATTTTTATTTCTATTTTTATCAGCTCACATAGCCTACATTAATGCCCAATTATTTGCAAGCACTTAATTGCATAAGCTTCTCAAATCAGTTTCCTGAGTGGCTGAGTTAGTCTTCCTGGCCAGATGCCCCTTTTTGTTCTTGCAGTGTGAGTTGTTGGCAGTTTTGTTGATCAAGTCTTTGCTACTTAATGGGTGGCGAGGTTAAATGGTAACATACATGGAGCCTCAACTGTATTTATTTTTGAGGACAAGGAGTGTTTGTGCTAGCTGTATATAGGCAAACAAACCATGGAGGGGTGTGCTTGCAGCTTCCCACTGTGAGATGCAGTTAGACACTAAAAAATAGCTTTTCCTCAGAGATACAACTTCGTTCTTTCATTCTCTTCCCACCACCATTCTTCTCTGCCACCATACCCTTCAGATATCTCTTCTACTGAGTAGAACAAGGTAGTCCTGTAGCTTAATTGTTCTTTACACTCTAGAAGTCTGTTCTTAAGAAGAGGCTGTGGATAGTGTTAGTTGGTGTTCACTGGAGTGTCTGATATTTGTAACTTAAATGTTTTAGGCGTTTAAAGATACTGGCAAAGCACCTGTGGAACAAGAGGTAGCAATTCATCGTATTAGAATTACTTTGACAAGTCGCAATGTAAAATCACTGGAGAAGGGTGAGTAGTACTTTTTTGTTTACTTGGGTAGCTTGTCAAGTAATGAATATGCCACGTGATGCATTGCAAAATAAATGTATTGAAACCAGTTGTAATTAAAGATGTTAGCGTTTGCCTGCTTGGTTGCTGTGGCTTAAGCTCACTGAGTCAACCCAAAGTACTTCATACAGTGACAAGTACATTTTGATTTAATTCTTAATGAAAGCTAGTGTTTTGGGGGGTTTTATCCTGCTGAAAACTTATGTCATAATGGCTAATGTAAGAGAGTGCAGCTTCTTCACTTTAGTTCTCATGGGAGATTTTCAAATAGCCATCATTCTTTGAATGTATAAGAACTGAAAGGCACCAGGTTCTTGATATTTTGTCGCTCGAGTTATGAAGAGTTCAGTCTAACATTCTTTTAAGAAATTATTTATTCCTGTTTAGGAACTGGCTTTGCCAGTATTTAGTCATATAACATAAATGTTGTAGAATCACTTTTTGCAGAATCCTCAGGCTTATAACAGCTTAAATACAGATTAAACTTGTAGTAATGGCTTTTGCCTACTGTTGTACCTTATTTTGCTCACCAGGGCATAACACTTCCACTTGTATGTGTTGGCTATGAGGATAATGCTTAAAATGAATGGCAGTGATCACTTAATACGCTATTCTGAGCCAACATCTTGTTTGAAATACTCACTTAAGGAAACAAGTAAGTAAAATAGTCACAAACCTGAGCTATTTTGTCTTTTTTCCAGTCTGTGCTGATCTGATCAGAGGCGCTAAGGAAAAAAACCTTAAGGTGAAGGGACCTGTTCGCATGCCCACCAAGGTACTTTACACTTTTCTTGTCTTTTTTTTCTGCAACTATGCACTTAAAACACTTTTTCAGAAAAAAAAGATGAGATGAAAAGCAGTACTACTAAACAGTGATGACCCAGTGTAAATAGATAATGATTTCACAAGTTGCTTTGATTCTTAAAGGTTTAATGCAAAATATGTTGAATGTGGAGAGGGCTTTATTGTTCAATTTGTTTTCATCATGAGCTTTTTTTTTTTAAATGAAATTAAATATGTAGGGAAGGAGTGCTAACATTAGTAAACTATAACTTAAAAGGTAACTTTCTAAAGTCATAGATACCATACAGTATTTTTAGATGACTTAGGTGATCATATTTACCATCAGATAGGAGAGATTACTCCTCTTTGTGCATCAGCCAAATACTTTGTGTTTGACTTTTCAGACCCTGCGGATCACTACCAGGAAGACACCTTGTGGTGAAGGTTCCAAGACCTGGGATCGTTTCCAAATGCGTATCCATAAGCGGCTCATTGATCTACACAGCCCTTCTGAGATTGTGAAGCAGATCACTTCCATCAGCATTGAACCAGGTGTAGAAGTTGAAGTTACTATTGCCGATGCCTAAATGATCATCGTTGCTGAATAAAATTGATTTACAAATTTTCATCACTGTTTGTTTTCATATGCGTGTTGAAAGGTAGCTCTGTGATGATTTTCACAAAGGACAACAGAGATCATAAAATGCTGTGAGAGGATTGTATGATATTTTAAGAAGAATATGCTATCTGTAAACATCAGGAAAATTAAACTTGGGCATCATGGTTTCATTGGAGGTTGGTGACTGTATGGTCATGCAGCACTTAAATTATTAAAAATATATTTTTCATGAAGGGTTTAACTTTGGCTGAAATCTTAGTCTATACCCTGACAAGAAGTAGCATTAAAATTGATGTTTAGGTAAATTACTAAGTTTTTAATTTTTGGTTCTTGCTGTGCAAGGCAGAACTAACACTAAGATTACTTGGCTTTGTTTTTTTCTGAGCATGTCTCAGTCGAAGGATCCTGAGGATGCTACTCATAAAACTTCATAAAAATTTGTGGTGAATACACTGAGTTTAGCAAGTTCATTCTTTAGACTTGCATGCAGAGTCACGAAACTTAAGCTTTGGAACTCTCTAGTTGTCTTTTCAGGCTTAGATTTCCACAGGTATGATTAATGTTTAAGGTTCATATGTAAAGCAGCAAAACAGCCATTTTCAGTGCTGCTACTTAGGGCTCTCAAGTAAAGGAGGTATGAGTAATTCTTACACCAACAAGGCAAAGAAGGCCCAGAGTTAAATAAAAGAGAACAGTTTCATTTAATCCATTTAAGATAAGGTTGCTGCTTCTGCTTCCAAGCATAGGAAATAACTTGAATTCTAATGAATTTAGTGGAGGTGTGTAGTTTGAGGTCCTGTTTATATTTGCTAAGACGTAAAACAGTGGCCAAAGCTTGAGCTTTCTTACTCAGGGCATTCAAGTCCTTAGATTTCATTAAATGTAAAGCCTTAGAAGGATTCTAACCATATAGTTAGCAGGCTTGAGAGCTTTGGTAATAGGGAGAGGTGAGAAACTGAGTTGACGTGTACAGATTGCATCAAGCCTGCTTCCTTGGGAAACATCCTGAAGAACTGCATGAGCAGAGGGGTGGAAAAACACCCCAAAACAAAACACCTGTGTTTTCCTAAAAGTCCATTTCTGGTAATACGCTACAAATATGAGCTTCCTGACAAACACTTCTAGCTGTAGTTTTAAAATTATTTGTGTTTATATGAAGTGCTCTTTATGGGGATAAATGGGCAAACAAGTAGCAGATGAGACGTGTTACTAGCTGACGCTCAGTCACCTCTGTGTACAATAGCTACTTTCAAACAAGTAGTCTTCCCTCTGCTTAACTCAAGCTCTGTGAAGGTACTGTGGATCTAGGGAAAGCTGGTGTGCTTTAACATCAGTTCTGTCTTTGGTCCTTCCTGTTGGTCAAAACCTTTTGCTATGAAGTAGCTTTCCATTGGTTTACAGCCGGCTCTACCTCTGACTTAGGGGGGGCGTCTTAAACATACCTCAGTGACCTAAAGCCCCATCTATGTTCTTTGAGCAGCTATGGCACTTCAAAGACCCCATTTTTTTTTGCGGTCTTCTGAGTGCGTATCTTTCTCATCACCCGTCTCCAACTTAAAATGCAAATGCAACTTAACCTTTGCGTCTGGGGCTGGTGCCGTGCAGAGGTACTGCTGCCTGCCTACTGGATGAAGGGACAGGCTTTCCACTGGTTACCGGAGAAGCAGAGGGCTTGCCTGTGGAAGGTGATGGACCTCAAGCTGCCGCGGGGTCCCATCGGCAGCGGGCAGGTCGCGTCCCGCAGCATCTTCCCCTCCTCGCCTCCCGCGGTTCCTGACCTGTCCCACCCACGGCTTCTACGAGACAGGAACGCTTCGGGATTTATTTGTTTTCTGTTCAGTTTACGACAACACCGCAGGAGTGTCGAAATGTTTTACGTAACACCCACAATGACTTTATGTAACTTTATGTTCGGATGGAAACATTTCGGTACCCGCGTCACCCCCCCTCACTTCAACCCGCGGCGCGGCTCCGTCGGGCAGCGCACCCCTCGTGCCTCGTTGGAACGGCCGCTGTCCGGTCAAACCTCTTCTTTGCCGCCGTGCCTTATTGAGGACGATATACAAACACCGCATCACGAGCACACGCGGCTCCGTCCCGTCCTGTCCCCGCCGTTCCCGTCCTCCTTCCCGGGCCGGCGGCGGCTCCAGCAGCGGCTCCGGCGGCGCCGGCGCCTTGCGCTGTGCGGCAGCGCCCCCTGCCGGGCGGAGGGGGCGGCGCCCGTGACGGCACACGGCCTGTCCGTCACCGCCCGCTCCGCCCTCCCCCCCCCCCCCGCTCGCTCTCGGCCAATCAGCGCCCGTCTCCCCCCGGCCAAAAGCGCTCCCCCCGCTCGCGCTCGGCTCGCGGGTTCCCGCGCGCGCCAAGGTAGCGCCGCCGTCCGGGCGGGCGCTCCCTGAGGAGGGATTCGGGGAGTGGGGAGGGATCAGCCCCTGAGGGCTGGGGAGCGCTGAGCTTTGCGGGGTGAGGGCTGCAACACTTCCAGGTGGATGAGAGCAGTGCCCAGTGAGGCTGTTAGCGTGCTTTCCCTTGTGTGTTTCCTAGGATAACCTGTTAGTTGTTTTTCTTTTGAGATTCCTTCATACTCCCAGGTGGAGTATGTATACTCCACTCCAGGTGGCCTTATCTCCCTCAGAAATGTTTGTTTATGTACAAGCTGCCCTCGTCTTTGTTTTGCTCCGTGTGTATTTTTGTCTGTTCTCTGAGAAAATGATGGGCTTTTTTTTTTTTTTTTTCTTCTGTTTTTTCCTTACAAGTTCCTTTGCACGGAACAATGGATGATGAGGGGAAAAACTATGTTCCTGCAGAAGTATCTGATGTGTTGGAATCAGTTTCTTTTCTGAATGTTGAGGGTAAACCTTCGCCCTTGGAATCAACAGTATTGCCCAATATGGAGGAACAGCAGGTGTGGATTGGTTTTACAAGATGTCTTCTGGTGATGCTGGGGGTTTTGTTTGTTTGGGTTTTGTGCGGCTTTTGTTGTTGGTTTGTTTTTGTAAGTTTTAATTCTGACAAATCTTTCATAAGAACTGCTGTGCTCCTCTACCCCTAAGATGTGTTTGACTCTTCTGCTTATTTGTCACTGCTTACACACAGGTCATAGCCCATATCAAGTACAGGTGGTCAATGCTATGTCATGTGCTAAGCTTTTGAGAAAAAAAGCAAAGGACTTCAGTAATTACACTTTGAATGCAATGAGGCCGTGCTGCTCTTTTTAGTAAGCTGAAAGAGCATGCGAACCTGTGTTGAGACTTGTTAGGGGCTTGGAAATAAAATCTATAACGCTGTGCTCTGCACTTGAGGAAAAGATAGTATAGCAATCTCTCCTTTTTGGACTGGGAGGTTTCCTGGGTGACTTTTTCTCAGGTGATCTAATTTTGTATGATTAGTGGAGTGCTGGAGAAAATCTATCTGCTGAATGAAAAGTTACCAAAGTAAAGACTTGGAAGCTCTGTGAGAAAGGAAGGAATGCTAGGATCCCTCTAAAAAGCTTCCTGCTATTATTGCATTACCTGTGTGGTGAGAACATTTTGTAATGGTTAGGCGATGGAAAAGCCCATCTTAGCAGCTGAGAATTGTTTCATGGGTGTTACTGTGAGGAAGATGAGTGGTTGGTGCCTGGATGGTGGTAAGGAAGTGGTCCCTTGAGGCTAAGAATGTGTCAATCTATTAATTGAACATTCTCCATACAAAATGGAAGTGCAGTACTGTTTAGCAGCTGTTAGAGAACACAGCTTGAATTCAATACAGAGGGACACCAGAAGGTGGAAGCAGTGCAGTTTATGCCTGTGATAGTGTGCTCCTTTTAAATCAAAATACTAGCTTTGTCATGAAAGAATGCTAAGGGGGGGTGGCACACACAAAAAAGGGTTACTTAAGGACAGTAAAAGCTAAAGAAGCAAATGAAAGGTGGGAGTCTGAACTTCACAAGGAAGGAAAAAGTGAGGCATTAGGATGAAATAGGAAATACTGCATCAGATATGTATGCTGATATGATTTATTTGGGTCTGTTCTGTTTAAAAAGTGGCAATTGTAACTGTGTTTTGTACCCTTTTTTTTTTTTTTTTTTTTTTTTTTTTTTTTTTTTTTTTTTTTTTTTTTTTTTTTATTGAATAGGTATATCATCCTCTGAAAGTCTTCCTGAGAGTGAGGCCTTTTTCTATAGCAGAGCTTGAAAGCCATGAATCTCAGGTTAGTTTTGTAGAATTAAGAATTAGGTTTT